ATATTTTAATCTAATAATATTTTAATCCATATAAGATTAAAGATAAATAGTAATATCAGGAAATATCAGATAAAACATATAAATTTTTAACATCTTTAAATCTACAATAAAAAAATTAATCATGGGTCAACATTATACAACTGATTACTTTAATGTAATAAGAAAAAAATTTAACATTTAAATAATTGATAAACATTTTTCAAACTACAAACTTTGAACATTCAAAGAATCAAAATAAAAACTAAAACTTTTAAATTTAAGAAAGGCAGGGAAACCTACCTCTCAGGATGTAACTCCTCGTTCCTCCCACTGCTAGGCTCGACTAAGTGAGGAACGAAGGAGAGAAATTCCTTCCCTTAAATAGGAGGAGGTGAGCCTCCATTAAAGGAAATATGTTTTAATTTTCATATTTATTTAATATAAATTATTTCCATTTAATATACTAAAAAATATGATATCATCATATTTGGAATACTTAATAGTTATTTCCTTAATTCATATCAACAAACAAGGAAGTCGATTAAGATTTCCTTAAATTATAATAACAAGTAAGGAAAGAAAATCAATTCCTAACTTAAAAATTTGATGTGATTACATTTCTCCCCTCCTATAGGAAATTTGGTCCCCAAATTTAGCTTATCTTAACAGAATAGATGAGGATACTACTCTCGTATATCTTCTTCTTTTTCCCACGTTGCCTCTTGGTCTGAATGGTGTTGCCAACAAATCTTTACCAAAGGTATAATTTTGTTCCTTAGAACATGTTCTTTCCTTTCCAAGATCTGGGTTGGTTGTTCTCCAAAAGTAGCATCATCTCTTAGTTGTAGAGATTGGTAAGATATGACATGTGATGAATCCCTAATATATTTTCGAAGTATAGACACATGGAATACATCATGGATGCCAACCAAAGCCGGGGGCAATGCCAATCTGTATACCGCAGGCCCAACCTTTTGTAAGATCTCAAATGGGCCAATAAATCTTGGGGCTAATTTCCCCCTTTGACCAAACCTCATAACTCCCTTGGTTGGTGACACCTTTAAGAAGACGTGCTCACCAACTTCGAACTCTAGATCTCTTCGCCTTCGATCTTCATAACTTTTTTGACGACTTTGAGTTGTTAATAATTTTGACGTATAATTCGAATATTATCAGCATCTTTTTGAATTAATTGAGGCCCTAAAAGCTTCTGTTCTCCTACCTCATCCCAATATACAGGTGATCTGCACTTTCTTCCATAAAGAGCTTCAAATGGAGCCATCTGTATGCTAGAGTGGTAACTATTATATAAGAAAACTCAATTAAATGTAAGTGCATATCCCAACTCCCACCAAAGTCCAAAGCACATGCTCTTAAGAGGTCTTCAAGAGTTTGTATTGTCCTTTCAGATTGGCCATCAGTTTGGGGGTGAAATGCTGTACTAAACTTTAACTGCGTGCCTAAAGATTTTTGTAGACTTCCCCAAAATTTAGAGGTGAATCTTGGATCTCTATCTGAGATAATGCTAACGGGCACCCCATGATATCGAATAATTTTTTTAATATATAAGCTTGCTAGTTTATCCAATGAATACTTCTTGTTAATAGGGAGGAAGTGAGCAGATTTAGTAAGTCTGTCTACTATTACCCAAATTCCGTCATATCCTTTCACGGTCTTGGGTAATCCTATCACGAAATCCATAGTGACTTGCTCCCACTTCCATTCAGGAATCAAAATCCTTTGTAATTTTCCCGCAGGTACTCGATATTCTATCTTCATTTGTTGGCATATCAAATATTTAGAAACAAACTCTGCTATATCTCTCTTCATACCACGCCACCAATAGTTTTGGTGTAAATCTCGATACATCTTAGTAGTCCTGGGATGGATATTAAATTTTGATCTATGTGCCTCCTATAATAATTGCATCTTTACTGGATGGCTTTTGGGAACACAAAGTCGATTATGGAATGTAATAGAACCATCTTCGGCTTGGAGGAATTCAGGTCTAGAACCTTGAGCTATTTCCTTAACTATCATTTGAAGATATGTATCTTCTTTTTGACCTTCTTTAACCTTTTCCACCAAAAATGATTGTGCCATCAAACACACAAGAAAACCTTTATTTGTCTATGATAAAAGCTTAAGTTTTAAGTCTGCTAACTCTGTCATCATAGAATTCCTTTGAATATTCATATAGGCTACAAGAATGTAGGTATTTCTGCTTAAGGCATCAGCAACTACATTAGCTTTCCCAGGATGGTAGTTGATATTAAAATCATAATCCTTTAGAAAGTCCAACCACATTCTTTATCTCATATTTAAATCTTTCTGTGTGAAAATATATTTGAGACTCTTATGAAATGTGAAGATTTTGAAAGTCTGTCCATAGAGATAATGCCTCCAAATTTTCAAAGCAAAAATGATAGCTGCTAGCTCTAAGTCATGAGTAGGATAGTTCTTTTCATGAGGCTTTAATTGCCTCGATGCATAAGCAACTACCCTCTCGTTTTGCATTAGAATGCAACCAAGCCCTTGTAGTGAGGCATCACTATACACTACAAAACCTTCTCCCCCTGAAGGAATCACCAAGATAGGAGCACTGATTAATTTCTTCTTCAATTCTTGAAAACTTTGTTGACATTTATCATCCCACATGGATTTTATGTTCCTTTGTGTCAACTTGGTCAATGGTGCTTTTTGAAAAGCCTTCTACGAATCTTCTATAGTATCTAGCCAAACCCAAGAAGCTTCAAATCTCTGAAACATTAGAAGACTGCTTCCATTTTATCACAGCTTCAATCTTGTGAGGGTCAACAGATATACCAGCGCTCGAAATTACATGACCGAGAAACATAATTTCATTGAGCCAAAATTTACACTTACTTAACTTGACATATAGTTTCTCTCGCCTTAGGACTTCCAGAACTGTCTTAAGATGGTGTTCATGATCTGCTATGCTTTTGGAGTAGATCAAGATATCATCAATAAACACAATTATAAATTTATCGAGATAAGGGTGGAACACTCTATTCATGAGATCCATGAAGGCAACTGGTGCATTTGTGAGTCCAAAAGGCATTACTAAGAATTCATAATGATCATATCTTGTTCTAAAGGCAGTTTTCTGTATGTCTCCTTCCCTTATCTTTAGTTGATGATACCCGGATCTCAAATCAATCTTTGAGTATACCTGAGTACCTTGAAGTTGATCAAACAAGTCATCTATTCGAGGAAGAGGATATTTATTCTTTATGGTCACTTGGTTGAGTTGTCTATAATCGATGCATAGTCGCATAAATCCATCTTTCTTCTTCACAAATAGGACAGGGGCACCCCAAGGTGATACACTAGGTCGAATAAAACCCTTGTCCAAAAGCTCTTGGATCTGTTTCTTTAACTCCTCCAACTCAATTGGTGCCATTCTATATGGAGGTTTAGAAATAGGTGTAGTACCAGGTAGAAGATCAATTGTAAATTCAATCTGTCTATTTGGTGGTAGTGCAAGTAGATCTTCAGGAAAAATATTTGGAAAATCCCGTACAATGGGGATGTCCTTTAATACTGGCTTCAT